GTAAATAGAGTTTTAACAATTTTTAATAGACTTTGTGGGATATTGTGGGAAAAACTTTGCATACGTTAACAGCTAAACACTAGAATTCTTTAACAGATAAAGCTTATTCAAATTTATTTTTGAAAGTTTCAAGGCATAGATTCCTTGACATTAGTGTGAAGGCTATTGAATAAATTTTTTAATTTTGCAAATATTAATAAAAACAAACGTTATAAGCGCTTACCACTATTAAAGACAGCATTGGAACAAGGTTTTGTTTCTAACATGTGTTAGAAGCATACGCCATAACGATCTTGATAACGTATAAAACACAGGAAATTAATTCCTCCTCTTAATATGTAGCGTAAGGAGGGTAGTGTTGAATATGTATGTGGCCACATTTCCTGCCCACGTCAGCTGGAACCTTTCCAAAGCCTGTAGATTTAGGAGAGCGCGCGCCCATTGCGAAGACATTTACGACCCTGAGGATTGAGTGTTTCGACAAGCTCACTGCCGATTCATCTTAATTATTCTGTTAAATGCCTTCCGGACGACACTTGCTGTCACGCCTAAAATGTGCACTAGGAACTAACAGCGGTACTTTGACAGTTTTACAAGAATGTTCAAGGAAATACTCTACATAACGTTTTAACTCGAACCACTTCTAAAACGTATATGACCCTGTAACATTGATTTTTTTGTATTGTGATGCTTCAAAACTAACTTTCATTTAATATGATTGAATTCTCGATAAGCCATCAATATACATGAAATATATATGTATCTAAAGAGGCACCTCTCCTTTGCAATTACAGAATGTTGTATTTTACTTTTTATTAAATGTATGAGATAATTCTGGGAAATATTTTTGATACATATCTACAAATATTGCGATGTAATTAATATATTTAGGTAAATTATAGGATTTTTATGAAATAAAATAATTAACATACTATGTGAGTAGGCGAAAGGTGTTCGTATGTAATAAAAATGTATTTTAATATACTTATTGCGTATAAAGAAGTTGACATCTCTTTATTTCACATTTGGAAACTATGGCGATTGATCGATTGTCTTTGCGAAGCCTGAAAAGTCCTCATTCTTAGGACTGAGATTCATATTAAATAAAAAATAATATAAATCATAATTTCATTAAATAAATTATTCCCTAACAATTTTCAACTATTGATTAAACTATTGGGGAACCACCCCCTGTAAATGAATTTTTCTTTTTTATTATTTATCACACTTTATTTGGATGTTACAAAAATACTCATTGTATGATGAAAAATAATATTCTTACAAACATTTTAAAATACCCACAAACATTTTTTTCATATTCGAAATTATATGTAATTAAAAATTAAACAAAGAAAATAATTTTTATCTTTCTGTGTTCAAAAGAAAACAACTAATTAAGCCTCGGACACTTCAAATGATTAGAAATTTTGGGAATTCCATAATTAAGTTTCTCCCTAAATTTGTTGGGGCATATGCTGCGCTTCTATCAAATACCCCAGATCTAGAAATGTGTAACACTGGGTGGTTAAGACCGTGTTCAGCTAGACTTGAAAAGTTTCTGAAATATTGAACTCATCAAATATACGTTTAATCTCTCGAGGCAAAATTTTGATGTAAAACAATTCTCTTTTACTAACAATATTTCGACAGGCAACAATCTCGTCTTTTATAATACGAGCCACCACAGCATTGGGAAGGGTAAGGTCATTAAACTTCATCTCTGCCAGCATGGAAACTCTTTATGAACTATATCGCGCTCCTAACAAGAATAAGCCTAAAAACGTAAAAAGGCTTTTAAAAAAACCTTTTTAGGATTATTTTTTATTAGAACGCAAGATAGTTCATAAACAGTTTCGATGCCGGCAGAGAATCCCGTCTTTGTCAATACACCTCTTCTACAACAGTAATAACGCCTTTATAAATATTGAAAAGCAAGATAAAGAATCGTTTTACGCCTAAACCTCGCCTCGTGTCAAACCAACATATATACACTAATAAGTTATCCCAAGGTGGGATTTCTCTTAAACCTTGTTATAGCAAGCAATTTTTTTTTGTGCACAAAACTATGTTTTTTTTGTTCATATGTGTATATAATTTTGATTATTTTAGTTCATCGCTTCTTTTACGCATATTTTGAATTGTCAGGATAAGTAGAAAATGTAGGCGAAATTTGATAGATTCAGTAAATACGAATTTACTGTAAATTGCGGTATTTTAAATGTTGTATTATGTCCACATCCAAATAGTATATGTATAGCACCATTATTGATGATTATTTTTGTCAAAGCATCATATTTTGTTCGCGCGCGCGAGAGAGTTTGATGCTAATAAATTCTATAATTGAATCAGTTGAAGCTGTTGTTGCCTCGGAATGGCCCCCAGCGTCAAACGAGGACAACTGAGTCACAAGTTGAGAAGTTAAGTGGGAAAATTATTTGGCAGAAGCAAGTACGAGCGAAGGATAAAATTAACAATTGCCTCATCAGGAAGTGAGCTCAATTATTTAATTAGGTCTAATGAAGATGATTGCCAAGAATAGGGTTGTTCCCTAAGTAGCTTGTTGCCTTGAAGTCTCTGGGAGCCAGTTCCTGCTTCCGGGGACATAATTGGAGCGGGTTCACTCTTGCCAACTACTTACTTAATTCTCGGCATTTTACAACTTATGCTCAAATGTATTTGCCTTCGTTTTTAATTTTTAAATCGCCCGAGCAATAATGTTTATTTTTACTTCAGGTTTCCTTTTTTACAAATCTTTAAATGAATTTTAAGATTTGAGTTCTCTTTTTTTTTCTTCGTATATAATCATCAATTTTTTTTTATCACAAGATAATATTCACACGCAGTAATATTTAACCAATGATAAGGCGTATTTTGGAACTAATAAAAAAAATGTTTAAAGAAAGAAATAACCGCGATTTTTTTTTTATTTATATTAACTTGTCAATCAAATCCATGATACACCTCACTATAGGCTCAATTTAAAATTATAGATTACACTACATTCTAGCTCTACACCAACAAATAATAATTAATATTACATGAATGTCAAAAATGATTCGAAAATTCAAATATGATGATTTAATATACGTTTATTGAAAGGTAGAAGAAAAGGAAACAATGCTGTGTACTTTGTCACGACACTTAAGATCAGATCGCGACACAAAGTAACCGTTTATGTGGCTTCCATTGTTTTAAGTGCGATTGTCTCTAAACAAAGAAACCTCCGGCAGGAATATTAAAATTTGTGCTGAGAAGGGGAGGAGCTGGCAGAACAATGCGGCACGCTAATTAGGTGACCAATGGCGTGCCTGACCACTCGGCCATATCGATCCAGTCGGCCATTCCGATTTTCCAAGGTTTGAAAAGAATGTCATTAGAGTTTCCCTTGTCGACAAAGTGCAATTTTTCTGCCAAAGAGTCATTAGAAGTAATTTTGCTAAAAGCGGCAAAGACGCTCCGCATTTTACCCAAGAAAATTGACTCGAATTCAAGTAGATTTCTATTTAAAGATATTAAAGTCCCCAAATACCTATTTATTTTGCTTATTGCACTTCACTTTAAATTGGATTTCTCGTAGCACAATTTAATTTCCCAAGAAAGAATCAGCATAACTAACATTGTAAAATGTATATATTACTTTTAGTAGCAGGTCAAAATTTCTTTCTTTTTTTTATTTTGAAACTTCCATTACATTAATTGAAACCCATATCTAGAGAGAGAGAAACTTTTACAATTTTATAAACTCAATCGTTCTTTTATTCGGTGAATATTGGAAAAGTATAAATTCCTAAGAGCGTTTTATGCGCAAAACACTTTGAGACTAAGTAAGATCCTTTTCACATTTTCAATCAGAAAATTACACGTGAAGACGAGTCCCCGTAATGTGAAGTGTTCATCGAGAATAAATTAAGCCAATCCAATGGTAGAGGTTTAAAATGATACATTTTCACACCGATCTGTTACTTACAATCGTGGTCGGTTTGAAATGACAAAAAAAATAATTTTGGCTTTTCAATCAAACTTCGTAAACTACCATGGAAATAAACATTTTGACTGTTTCAGATATTATACCTTCTCTTAAAATTAAAATACAAAAGTATACAGATTGATTATGATCATTTTAAATAAAAATGACATTGTACTATTGGTAATTCTACACATTAGAGCCTGGCTATCATAAATGGATTCTTAAAATTTTATGGTTTCTTTTAATCACACAAAATATTAATCTCTTTGTAAAGCATTCCGTCTATAATCTGAATAACCTTGTAAAGAATAATTATCTTTAGCTTGAGTATAGATGAGAGATTGAACCCATTTTTACTCATTCTATCAAATACGATAATATTTAAGATTAATATTTGCGTTTAATTTGAGTGACGGGTATTTTGAACCTCGAGCACAATATGGGTGAGATTACTGATAATCAAAAGGTATATTCAATTATACAATTATTCAATTACACTTGTATGTCACAACAACAATTATAGCAATATGAATGAGGACAATATTTCAAGAAACGTTAAAGTGTGTGGGCGCGCTTGAAAAAAATATTATGCTAATATATATATAGAGGCAAGTAATTTTGAAGTGAAAGTATCTTCCCATACCACATGAATATCGATAGTCTCCCAAAACTTCTTTCATATTAGGCTAAGGCATCGAAGTAATGATCGCAAACATAATAAAAAGTTAATAATTTATGTATAAAAGTACGAGAAAAAAGAACAATATTCGCATAGTGCGTGCGCGCGTAAGGGAGAGAGAGAGACTTGAATATTAACAAACATATTAGAAGATAGTATATACCTACATATACACAAATAAGCTCAATTCGAGGAAAATGAAGGTGAAAAAGAAGAGCAGAGAAATATTATTTTTTTTTTTGAGAGAGAGAGAGAGAGAGAAAATGGAACTACATGAATAATAATAACAAAATATACCAATACTGTTTCACATAATATTGAAAATTGCTTGAAGTATATAACAATGGAAAAGAAAGCCTTCGACGGGAATCGAACCCGTGTCTTCTGCATAAAAGCAGATGTCTTTCCGACTCGACCACGAAGGCCACAGTTTCAAAAGTTGCATATGGAAAATCAAGCCTTTCTGATATGAAAATAAACAATATTAATTTGAAAATGGTGTATGAACCTTTCTTAAAATTTAGAAATGGAAATGAATAGATATTAAAAAGAAATTAAAGACAAGTCTTTATTGGAAGATAGAAGCAAAAGATAGAGGAAAAGAGTACATATAGAATATACGTTATCATCACAAGCTACAATAAGGGGAGATACAGCAGACAGGGGATGTTAGAAGTTGAGAGAGAATGGCCGACGTCGGCAATAAGCAACTCGATAGAGAAGACATTGGCGAGCTTATTTAATTAAAGCTGGAGGTGAAAGAGAGAAAATGAGAGTGGCGCACGTAAACAAAAGCCAGAGAGCCAATAACGAGTTAATTAATTAACGCTCCCTAAGTTGCATTGGCATTCTGAATTTGGATTGGATAAATAAATAGGTACTTTAGGTGAAATTAGTAATAATATTGTTATAGAGATAATTAGCGATACTTTGGGGTAAAGCTTTTGTGAAACTATTCAACAGATTGCGTGAAAGTTAACAATTTCAAAGTTTCAAAATAACTTCCCAATTAACGCCCTGTCTCCGCTCGAATTTCAACACCCAGGCGGCTTGTCCAATTACTGATCATTAAGGTTTGATCCGGTTTCACAACCAACCACTTTGTATTGTTTCGAAGACTTAATGCCATTTTAATTGTGTCTTGCCTTCTTTATTTAAATTATTTGTTATCATTACCATAGGCTCGCATACATTTATCAGGTCCTCGTTGTCCTCAACCGTCATTATCAGCTGTCGCGCGCGTTAATTAGCCAACAAAAAGCTTTGGTTACATTACGTCGGAATACCAAATGGAGGCAGAAAAACGACGCATTTCACAGCAAGCCGCGCTGTTTTACATAGAAGTGTGTTGATTATATCTTGGTATGTGTGTGTATTTTTCTTGTTTAGTTTTCACAATGATCTAATATTCACGCTGATAGGTTTATAATACATCTGTAAATGTGTACCATCTCAAATAATTACTTGTATTGAAATAAAAAGAAAACATAAATTGAGACCATTTCAACCTAGTATGAGATTAATATATTCGTTATTTTTTACTGAAATAGAACATTATCATTACCATTCTGTGAATAAATTCAACCATAAGAAAATACTCTCTAGTAGAATGACAATGCGTGTTGAATCGAATAACATGTGTTCTGGGCGATGCTAATTGAAAATATCCAAATAATTATAAACACTCGAAAATAGTTTCCACAATAGAGTTATCAAATATCAGATTTTAAAAATTGTATATATACAGTATATCTAGTTGTCTATATATTTATTTATAAAAATTATGCTGCTATTTATAAAACGTTTCATTAACACTCAACTTTGATTATATATATTTGTAAAAAAACTTTATATATTGAGTAGTAAACATTTTGAGCTAAATAAAATTTAAAAATCCTTTTATATGTGAATACGAGGTATCGATGTCTTATGTTAATGATTTAGAAACTGCAAATATTTATCACAATGAGTTTGAATTATGTTAATGATTTTTAATAATTGAACATAGGAACCATAACCTCGTCCATAACCATATCTCAGAGCCTGTCAGGAGTTGGTAACTCAATCGTTGACTGATGGACCGTCTTTAATTCGGTGATGGCGCCTAGTAATTATGATGATGATGATATACACCGGGTGTTGAAGACCAAATCGAATTCAAAACATGAATATTTTAGCTCTGTGGTCATAAATCTAGAATAGAATATCTTGAAAGTTTCAAAATTTAAGGACAGTCCAATATGTTAAAAATTACCTCTGTGAAAAATAGAAACTTCGGCCAGTTAGAGTTTTTTTATTTTCTCAACGTTTCTCTAACTGGCCGAAGTATCTATTTTTCACAGAAATATGAATGCAGGCAACCTCTATCTTCAGGTTAAAAATTACTGTTGAGCAGACTCCCTTTAATACTTACAAACAAATTGTAAATTACCAATTTGGTCGTTTATTCTGAGCTTAACAATAAAAATTTAGACAGAGAGATCAAGACACGGTAATACAGCCGTTTGTAGAAGTTAGGCTTGAAACTACTGATCCTTTGCGCATTTTTACAAATAATAATCTTCAACCTTTCATATGTCTAAGTTGAAAATATCGCATCTCATTTCTATCTCTCAGCTTTGTTCATTACTTTATAAAAAAAGTGGTGAAATTTATAAAATTTTGAAAAACGATTTAAAATAAATGTACTCAACCGCTCAACAATATTCTCTCTATCCGTCTTCTATATTCATTAAGTAGAATTGTTAAATATTATTTGAAAATTAACTGAAAATTTAATAATTTATATCTTAATTTATTATTCGAAAAATGAGCTTTCGAGCAACGACGCTCTTCTACTGGCTTAACAGTGTATGTCCAGTGGAGAAAACAAACTGTATGTAGAAACAGAAATTCACCTTCACATTTGCATGCGTGAATAATAGTTACATAATGCATATATTTAGAGTTTGGTATATATATATAATGAAAGACAATATTAAAATCAATTTCTTGTTTATTATCGCCTTCATACCAAAACACCTTTGATCCTTGCCAAATATACAATTTAAAATAAATTTTTAAAAAATCGATAATAATATTTATCTTATAACTTGAATCATGAAAATTTCTCTTATAGAACTGTAAAAAGATTATAAAAACGAAGAGAAAATTATTTATTTTTACTATACATGGGCTACGAGCTTTCGGGCAGCCTCGCCCTTCTACAGGGCGAGGCTGCCCGAAAGCTCGTAGCCCATGTATAGTAAAAATAAATAATTTTCTCTTCGTTTTTATAATCTTTTTATAATATTTATCTGCTTTTATATAAAGTAATTAGCGTTTAGTCTAGATTTTAGAATTTACTCTTACTTATAATTCTATATTTAAATTCGAAACATCTTATTTATAAATTTAAAATATTTGTTTGCGTGTTTAAACATGCGGTGCACTTAGAGCAAAAGCAGTTGCCAACCATTCACTATGATATTATGACCATTTGAACTTGAGATAAGTAATAAAAGGTAATTTAAAAAATTAGCCAATTGCATAATAGTGTTTATCAATTATCAAGTGTATATTAAATATAATGTAAAAGAGCGTTTACCTATATATTCTATACATCTATACATATATTCTATGAAAAACAAATACAACTCCATAATACAAGTTGATTTGGTTGCATAAAAATGCAATTTTTAGATATTAAAAAAATTAAAACTCGATATATATTTATATATTACGTATTTAAATAAAAATAGAATATAAACAATGGAGCTCTCATATTCAACGGAAGGAAAGTTGAATGGGATAGTAAAAACGACAAGTTAAAATACGCACTTTTAAAAATTAAATTGCTTGTAAAAGAAGAGCAAAGCCAATTAATAATTTAAGAGCAAATTTATTAGAAATATAAAATTTAATTAATTATTTTCTCTCCCATTAATAAACCATTATATAGCCGAGGAGCTAATATTCGCTGCCTCAGTTCTTCCATAAAAAGGTTTCAATTACTCCTGTGAGGGAAGCAGTGATTAAAATAATTCTAACCCTAAAATAACAAGGGGAAAAAAATTAAAACTGAAAAAAAAAAAAAAAAAACTCCGTAGCAAATAAAACACGTGTGATAATGTTTACCTCTGTCTCCATTAATTACACTTAGGAAATTAATTGCGTACCACTTTGTTAATATTTAAAAAAACTATTTACATCCCGTTATCAGAATAATTTAGATGATTACTAAAGAATACCAATCTTTAATAGAGTTATTTGGAAGGTACTTCATTTTTTTTACATATCAAACACACTCATCAATTATATTAATGTATCTTTGATATTTACCATGTGTGTAATATTAATTTTCCTAGATGTATCTCTTTATAAATTTTAAATATATATTTTTTATGTTATAGCTTTTTTTATTTATATTATATTCGAAACAGAGAGAACTAGAAATTATGCTGTATTTACTTCAGCACAAGTAAATATATAATAAAGTCTAACTGAAATTTCAGGCCTAGCATGTGATATTTAGAGAATGGTAGTTTTATACGGTGAGAGTTTCGCAGAGAAATTGACAATGTTGCTAGAACTGAACAAAGATGACTGGAGCATGGAAGTACCAGAAGCATGCACAAAGAAGGAGTAAGCCTCCATTAGGGCCGAGCGACCCACCAGACAGGGGAAGGAAGATTACTCAGACAGCGCACAAAAAGCCGCGCTAACCCTTTCCACCGCGTCTTGGGAGCTTTTCGGCGCTCTCATTATCTTCCCCGAGCGGGTCGATACTCCGCTGAAGTCATGTGGCCAGCAGTCTGTGGCGCCTCCTTCCTCTGCCACCGCCTTCCTGCTCTCATGTGATCTTAGTCATCATTTCTGGGCCCTTTCTATTCCCTTGTGTTTTACCTGACTTCCACATCATTCCTATCCTACATTGAGATTAATCCATAACTGTAGCGGCTTGCTCCAAGTGTTCATGGCGAGCTTTCGTGTGATATTAGTCATCATTCCAGGCCTCTTTCTATCCCCTTGTGTTTTACCTGATTTCCACATCATTCCTATCCTCCATGGACGTTGATCCATAATTGTAGCGTTTTGCTCCAAGCCTTCACGGCAAACTTTCATTTGATATTCATCATCACTCCAGGCCTCATATTTTATTGTTTTTTACCCGACTTTCACATCATTCCTATCCTATATTGGCATTGATCCATAACTGTAGCGGCTTGCTCCAAGTGTTCACGGCAAGCTTTCATTCGATATTAATCATCATTCCAGGCCTCATATTTTCTTGTGTTTTACCTGATTTTCACATCATCCCTGTATTGACATTGATCTATAACTGTACCGTTTTGCTCCAAGCCTTCACGGCAAGCTTTCATGTGATATTAGTCATCATTCCAGGCCTCTTATTTTCTTGTGTTTTACCTGATTTTCACATCATCCC